CGGCTGCATCTCCAGCACGGTGCGGAAGAGTTTCTCTGAGGTCTGCGTCAGGAAGCCGATCTCTGCGTTCGGGTGGAGACCGTACAGATACGGAGACTCGGGCGGCAGAGCGGCGTCTATATACTGACACACACACACACACACACACAGAGAGAGAGAGAGAGAGAGAGAGAGAGAGAGAGTGTGAATTAAAGTAAAGAACTTTTATTGTCATTGTAGTTATACAACGAAATTTGTTTGGTAACTCACAGAGACAAAGCTCTGTGGACCTATTATCATCTGTGCTGGACACCAACAGCTCAGGAAACACACACACACACACACACACACACACACACACACTGAGGCAGTATGGAGTCTACAGGTCTCTCAGATCATCAGTCTACTCACCGTCTCGCAGATCCAAACACATGCAGCTTTGAGGAACAGAAGAGACACGGTCAAACTCTGATTATCAGCACAATAAAGACTCACGAGCACCACTGAACACACACACACAGACACACACACACACACACACACACACACACACACACACACACACACACACAATCAGTAAGTGTGTAAAGCGGTGCTGGAGCTGTGCGTCTGCAGGACAGGATGTGCTTCATTACTGCACTAACACTGAGCTCTGACCACATACACACACACACACACACACACTCTCTCTCTCTCTCCATCACCTGTGTGTCCCAGCGCGCTCCCTCCATGTACAGGCCGTGTATGTAGGCTCCCTCTCGCGGGGCGCTGCTGAACTCCTCGCGGCTCTTCTTGGTGACGTCACACTGCAGGCTCATGCGGTCCAGGGGCCACTGGTTGCGCCGCGCCGCCGCCTGCATGATGGCCGTCAGGAAGGACTGCGGGTTGAAGAATCCGGCGAGCCACACGGCGGCCGGCAGACAGAAGTCAGAGCTCCAGCTCTCCAGCTCACGGATGCGGCTCTGCAGGTCCGAGAACCACACGGCCAGCCCACACAGAGACGGATACGCCCGCCGCGTCCACGAGTCCGGCACCTGGTCCAGGTACAGCGCGCTCTGCAGACTCTCCATATCACTGCTCATCGTCAGCTCGCCCTGCGGAGCACAGCGGAAACACAGGTCAGCCCGGAGCAGGGTGGGGGTCAGGGGTCAGATTAGGCCCTGTGCTGTTCACAGTGTACAGCTGCAGTCAGAATTATTCACCCCCTGTCCATCTTCTGTCTTTCTCCAGTGTTCCCCTCATGATGTTTCTCAGATTCAGCAGTTGTTCTCAGTGTTTCCTCTAATATCTGTTCTTCTGGAGAAAGTCTGATTAGTTTTATTTGGGCTAGAATAAAGCAGTGTTTAATAGTGTTAAAGTCATGTTAAGCTCAATATTATTCACCCCTTCAGCAATATTAGTGTTGGATTGTCTCCAGAACAAACCACTGTTATACAATGACTTGCCTAATTACCCTAACTTTACCCTCATTACCCTAGTGAAGCCTTTACATGTCACTGTAAGCTGAACACTAGTGTCTTGAAGAATATCTAGTCTAATATGCTGTGCTGTCATCATGATGAAGAGGCGTCAGTGATTATCAGAGATGAGTTATGAACACTGTTATGGTCAGAGATGTGCTGGACACACGACACTGTTCTCTATATCCTGTAGACAGCAGATCTCCCAGCTGGAGGCTCCTGCAGGTGTGTGTGTGGCTGACTCTGCTCCTCTCCGTCTTTGTATGATCTAACACACACTGTTGAGCTTCTGACAGTCACACGTCACACTCTTACACTCGTCATGTGAGGAGGGATCGTGTGTGATTAGAGCAGAGTTTACATCACTCTCACACTGTCCAGAATAAGAACACACACACACACACACACACACGTGTGTGTACCTTGAGTCCGAGGTTGAGTTCTCGGAGCGAGCGCTTGATCTCCTGTGTGAGTGTGTTCATGCGTTCACACTCCTGTAGCGCCACCACCACATACGGGCTGCGCTCCTCCACCTTCGCCATCAGCTCCGACATGTTGAACTCTTCCGGAAGCTTCTCCAGAATCTCA